GAGACTTTCAACCAGCATAACAAAAAATGTTTCTGAAGACAATCACCTATTGCACCTTTAAGTCTTCTGAAGAGACACAATCACTTTACATGCTGAATAGACATAATTTAGGCTTTTATTCACATATAAACATTGATTTTAATGCATTCTGTAGCACATACTGTACAGAGAGCACATTAAATATGGTAAACAGAAGCTCAAATATGCTTGACACACTAGAGAACACACCTCATTGGTTCTCGTGTGTCAAGTTCTTACATTTTTTGTTTTATGAAATTTCGATGTTCTTTTTGAATCTTGAAAATTTTGGCTGCGTGAATTTTCAATGGATGAACAAATATGACGAGAGAAAGTTTTATGGGTATGGAACAACATTAAGATGAGTAAATGATGACAGAATTTTAATGTTTGGATAAACTGTCTCTTTACATTGCCCTGCACAATTCCACCAATGCATATTTTAGGAAAAATATATTCAAATAAGAGTGAACATGGCCATTTAGAACTTGAATGTGCAAGGTTTCCGGTTTTAGCCACTTCCAGTTATTTTGGCTGAACAAAAAAAAAAAAAAAGACTAAAAAATACTGCAACCAGTATTTATTTTCATTTATTATAATCATAAACCAGTAGCAGTTCTACTGTTTACTGCACTTTGTTATTCTTCTAGTTATTTACCTAGGTAGCTGATGAAAGTATATGTACAGTGGGTACGGAAAGTATTCAGACCCCCTTAAATTTTTCACTCTTTGTTATATTGCAGCCATTTGCTAAAATCATTTAAGTTAAGGCCGCATTCATCTTTCCCTCGATTGGAAGGGTTCTGGTCGTCCCAAATGTCTTCCATTTAAGGATTATGGAGGCCATTGTGCTCTTAGGAACCTTAAGTGCAGCAGAAATTTTTTTGTAACCTTGGCCAGATCTGTGCCTTGCCACAATTCTGTCTCTGAGCTCTTCAGGCAGTTCCTTTGACCTCATGATTCTCATTTGCTCTGACATGCACTGTGAGCTGTAAGGTCTTATATAGACAGGTGTGTGGCTTTCCTAATCAAGTCCAATCAGTATAATCAAACACAGCTGGACTCAAATGAAGGTGTAGAACCATCTCAAGGATGATCAGAAGAAATGGACAGCACCTGAGTTAAATATATGAGTGTCACAGCAAAGGGTCTGAATACTTAGGACCATGTGATATTTCAGTTTTTCTTTTTTAATAAATCTGCAAAAATGTCAACAATTCTGTGTTTTTCTGTCAATATGGGGTGCTGTGTGTACATTAATCAGGAAAAAAAATTAACAAATGATTTTAGCAAATGGCTGCAATATAACAAAGAGTGAAAAATTTAAGGGGGTCTGAATACTTTCCGTACCCACTGTATGTATCTGTCTTACACTTTTGCATGACATTTGAACATGTGAAATCAATTCTGCTCACACCTGTAAAGGATGAGGTGGATAGTTGAGCCAAACGTCCCTCAGCTCCTGCAAGACAGAGAGAGGAAACAAACTGAATACAACCCGACATAGTCCATTTGAGAAGAATAAGTGTATATGAGGGACAATTCAGACTTAAAAAAGAAACATCTTTAGAATGTTTCATTTATTTTTTGTTTTGTTATTTTTGTTAGTTTATGTGATACCAAGGACATTTTTTTTTTCAGTTTTAGGCTAGTCAATTAACTTATTTACTAATGACAGCAAGAGAGCCAGATCATAATAAATGACATTTGTGCTCTTTATGCTGTCACTTTGCTGTTCTTCACATTTCCACCATGACCAAACAGAAGCTCTGCTGAAGAAACCTGACTGTTCTCTAAAATATTGATTTAATGTTTTTTTTTAACTCTGCAAGCTGCAAACATGTTAACATGATTATTTTTACTTTTTATGAAAATATTTTAACACTTTATAAATTATATTGGGGAAAGTCTGGGTAGAAGGCAAACTCAAAATACAGAAATGACTTCTGCAGACAAAGTTATTATAATTTATATTTAAACACCCTGTTAGTTTTAAATGCAATATCTTTATATTGGAACACAACACCTCTATATCTTACTTTTATATAGGCTCACTATAATAAATCTAACTAAAATTTGCAATGTTTAGTCCTACAAACATACACCCAAAACGCACCTCACTGTTGAACAGCAGTCTCCCAAAGAGTTGCTTGGCTTCCTCTAAACCACCTTCTAGGTAAACGGCCCCTACAAAAAACAAACAAACAAAAAAACAACAAAACACATTAAATAAATAAACTACCATTCAAAAATTTGGGATCATTCTTTCTTTTCTTTTTAATTTGGAAATTATGCATTTATTAAGCAAGGACACTGTATTATTGTAATAATCATCACTAGTAACTTGTGTACTTTTTTGAGGCTTATTGTGCTTAATAATGCTTTTTTTCACATCAAACATGCCAAGTGCTTTCAGTGACTTCATGTGATATCTTAGGCCAGTGGTTCTCAAATCCAGCTCTGCACATTTTGTATAACACACAATTCATATCATCAGCTCATTAGGAAATTTTGGTTGCTCCTCGTGAGGGTATCGCATAGTTGAAGCAGAGGTATGAACCGATTTCCATAAACTCAGTGTTTTTTCCCTCACTGCACCTGCATGAAAACAGAAATCAAACCATGGCGACATGCTGTGTGGTATGAAGCAATGGAGGCTATACAGTTCTGGGTTTGGGTTATATCAATGCCTAGAAGCACAGTGAAATCTGTTATTAAGAACTAGAAGGTATTTGGTACAGCACAGACCCTCCCTGGATCAGGTTGTCGCTCCAAACTGGATGAAAGAGCCAGGAGGAAACTGGTCAGAGAGGCTACCAAGAGGCCTACAGCAACACTGAAGCACTTGCAGGAATTTATGACAAAGAGTGGTCATTGTGTGCATGCGACAACAATATCACAAATTCTCCACAAATGTGGCTTGTATGGGAGGGGTGCAAAAAAAGCCACTCCTCAAGAAAGGCCACATGCAGTCACGACTGAGCTTTGCCAAAACACACCTTGAAGATTCTGAGGCAGATGAGACTAAAATTGAATTATTTGGCCTCAACACCAAATGATGTCTGGCAGAAATCCAATACAGCTCACAATCCAAGTAACAGCATTCCTACAGTAAAGCACACAGAAAAACTGAGCACACAGTGGTTGAAGGAGAAAAAGGTGAATGTCATTGCATGACCTACTCAAAGCCCAGACTTAAAGCCCATTGAAAATCTGTGGAATGACTTGAACACTGCAGTCACCATCAAATTTAACTGAACATGAGCAGTTCTGCAAAGAAGAGTGGGCAAATATTGCAAAGTCTAGATGTGCAAAGTTAGTAGAGACAGATCCCAACAGACTAAAGGCTGTAATTAAAGCAAAAGGTGGTTCAACAAAATACTGACACAAGGGGTGATCCTTTTTCAAACTCCGTGATTCTGTTTTTTTATTTATTTTTTCTCTGACATGTTGGTGTTATATCTTTCACTTGGATATTATAAGTTGCACTGAGTAAATACAGCTGGATAAAACAAAAACTGTGGCCATCTTCATTTCAGGCTGCAAAGCAACAAATTGTGATTATTTTAAAGGGGGTGATTCTTTTCTATACCCACTGTAAATCCTGGTATTTAACAAAAACATTGCTGAAATCACACAGTGCGTGCCTGGCTTAAGTGAAACATAAAAGAGCGGTAGATCCCTAGGACCAGAGTTAAGAACCACTGTCTAAGGTTGTCTTGGGAAAACTGCTGGAAATCAGATCATACAGCAGCTGAACAAAACACACATACCTAGGGCAATATTTAAAGCATTCTGTAAATTTGTTCTTACAAAATACAAAGTAAGTTTCTGAAGCCATGTTTGCAACATAAAAAAAAAAATCAAGATAAAAAAATTTGACCTCAGTGAGCGGAAATACAGTATATTAAACACAGACAGAGAGCATACATGATAAAGCACTAACCTATCAGGGCCTCAAAACAGTTTGCCATGGCATGTCGGAGGTCTGACTCCCTGCACAGGTCAGGGCCGTGGGCATATAACATGAACCGATCCAACTCCAATTTCTGGGGATCCAAAACAATGATTAAAAAAAACAAAACAAAAAAACAATGACTACTAACACCCACCAACACAAAACTCTGAAAACTCCACGTATGCATGCCAAAATATGTGCTAATACAAGACTTTAACTCATCAAAACAGTTATGCAAGGGTTTAAATCGACTTAATGTTAATGCTTGATGTCAACACACTGATATTATGGTTCCAAAAAAAATAAAATAATAAAATAAATAAATAAATAAATATATATATATATATATATATATGTATGTGTGTGTCTGTGTATTTTTTTAAAATGTTTATGGATCTATAATTTTCAGTGTGCGGACATTATTTTTTGATTATCCTTATCATCTAGTAAATGGTCACCTTAGCAAGCATAGCAAGATGCTGATTCTGAACGATTGCTGTGCGATATGTGGCGAGTCCTCCCTCCTCCAGGTTTGGGAACAGGTAGTAGAGATGCACACTGGGAAAAAAAAAAAAAGACAAATATATGACTACAATAGGCTAACGAATGAAAGCTTAAGAGAACAACATCCTGGAGAAACAACAGATTTGAAATAAAAAAAAGAAACTTCAAAGGCTAATCTCAGTGAGACATGCTCTATGTAGTGGCAGATTTATAGCACTGTTGAAAAGCAAGAGGTCTCACCTGGTCAGGAACTCAACAACTGCATCACCAAGAAACTCTAACCGCTCATTATGATTGATTCTGTTAAAAGTACAGGGATCACATCCTTTAGTTGTTATAATGTTTCTACTGCCTTTTTAAAATGTAAGAATTGAAAAAAAAAAAAGAAGAAAAATTTCCAGAAATGATCACCAGATGTTTAACATAAGAAACAAATGACTTGACTAAAATAAAATCATACAATAAAACACACACACACACACACACACACACACACACACACACACACACTAACCTGGAGGGTGACGGGTCATCCTGGCCCAATCTTGACATAATATTAATCAAGGTGTTAATTCCTAGTGAAAAAGGGACAAAACCATTTAGAGTAGAGTAAGACTACTTCTTAAAAAAAAAAAAAAAGCTCTCAAACACATGTACAGAGAGATATGCTAACCCTTTTTCCTCATGTACATATGATGCACTTTCCGGTCTCCATATTTGGGCTGGCGTATGCCACAGTTTGACAGAGAGTTGCGAGCATGGTCAGGATTCATCCCAAAATTGAGATGATGACTGGGGTGAGTCATTGCCAACTGGGCAAGAAAGAAAAGTGAGAGTTATAATGCATAACGTGAAACCAAACATCAACAGCCACTGAACACAGTATAATGACCTTTTATGACCATTAAGTACTACAGTTACATGCTAACACTGAACACATGCACATACTACTAGCTATGCAGGACTGAACACCCAACAACAAGCAGAACTGAAAACTGTTCTGTAAGATCAGAGACTTATGCTGCCTTTCTTAGACTTTTTGTTGAAAATTGTGCTAATTTAAATGTCACTTAGGGCAACATTATCCAGCCAAATAATAAAGATAAGAATGTGTAAAAACTGCAAGAAAAACTTGGGATAAATAATCTTGGAATCATCAGATGGGATGAACATGACTAATCAACCAGTCATGTTCTGCATCGTATGCCATCATTTTTCATTTTAATTTCATTTCTGGATGTGGATGTACTTCTAACTGTTGTGGAGTTACATTATAGTGAGTTACTTTCCAGTTGTTATTGCAAATTAAAAAGTTAAGGCTTCAATTCCAAGAATCTTGTTCAGACAGGCCTTTATTTGCTGCTTTGCAAATTCCAAGTGGGATTTAATGTGCCTTGACTAAGGAGAGGCTTCCATCTGGACTATCGGCCATAATACTGGGATCAGTGGAGCGCTTCACACATAATCTGAGTAAACTAATTTAAAACTGTTGTGTAGTTATACATTATAGCTGTTTAGCTTTTAATTTCCAGCTGTTATTGCAAACTGAAAAATGTAGATACTTTTTCTTAAAACAAACAAACACTTTACAAGTGTTTTATATACATATTCTTTTATATTTTATTTTATTTTATATTCATGAAAAAAAAGTTTTTTTTCTGTCACATATAAAATGAACATAAAATCTATATTTTTTCTTTGGTAGAGCCAGAGAAAATACTGGCAGAGCAAGGAAAAACCTGAACTACTAAATACTTATTCTGCAGCCCTGGTAACCTGTGCCACAATTTTCCAGAATGAAAAACAACCCTACACAAGTATTTACTCTTTCTCTTACCTGCAGCAGGCATCGTTCTTTGAACATGTAACCGATCAGCTTGTCTAAATGCATCAGGCACTGGTGGTAGCGGATGTGGTGGGTGAGAACTGGCAGCATCATGGCATGCTGCAAAAATAAAGCATCCGACTTAAATGTTTGGCCTTTTTCATGCTTTTAGTGAACAGGACAGTTGAGAAGCATGGGGTGGAGAGTTGGGAACGGGATTAGCAAAGGACTGCGAGTCGGGAGATGCAGCTGCACTATATGTCAGTGCGCTAACCACTAGGCTATCAGTGCTGACTGATTACATTATATGTTTAACATGGAATTAACACCATTCTCTGCTATTGTCTAATTTGTTAACTGATATTTGTTTACAGTCATAATAGCGGAAAAATATCTGCAATAAAACATAAACATTTGGTAACAGAATCTGCACATCCATGAGTGTAGTGCAGCAGATCATTATTTTATATGCTTTATAAACGTGTACTTCATTGTGTTCTCAGGCATTTACGAGACAATGTGTACTAAATAACTACTCAAATATTAAAGGGGCCATATCATGCGATTTCAATTTTTCCTTTCTCTTTGGAGTGTTACAAGCTCTTGATGCATAAAGAAGATCTGTAAAGTTGCAAAGACTAAAGTCTCAAATCCAAAGAGATATTCTTTATAAAAGTTAAGTCAACCACGCCTATCTAAAACGGCTCGTTCTAACACGCCCCCAAGTCTACGTCACGATGTGGGAAGATTTGCATAACGCCGCCCAATTTTTCATGCAAAAAAGAAGGCGTAACTTTAATTCTTGCTGTTGCCACCGCTGCTATGTTGTGGAGTCGTTGTGTGTTTCGTTGTGAAAGTGAAACTACTTTGTTTGGCCTTCCAAAAGAGGACGATATCACTTCGTCATGCCTGGAGCTGATCCGTGCTGGTTGCTGAGGAAATAATACAACTTTGCATTGTCGATCGCCGGATCGGCTTTCACCGTGGAAGAAGCGGAGTCCAGCCCGGGGTCATCACATGTGGTTGC